GTTTAAGGCTTATAAGTACTTATTCCTTTACTTTACTAAATTAGGAGTAAATTAAACTATTAAAACTCTTTATAAAGCTTACGCCTATAGGGAACTATAGCCTAAAAGAATAAAAGCTTATATGAATAGTTACCTAGAAAACAGGTATATTCCTACTATATTAGTATAAATATTTTAGGCTCTAAGCTTATAGGAGACTACTAAGTCTACTAAGTCTACTAAGTCCGGAACTGTTGGTACGACCTGGTAGTCGTAAAAGGGTGATACACAAATATAATCTCTGTTTGTATTCATTCGTGTATGAAGAGTAAAGGTAAAGAGAGGTGGTACCCTACAAGCTTAAGTATATGAGTGGCAAGCCACTCACATGACCTAAAGCATATAGATCCACCAGGCTCTCGTACAAGGTGCTATTCACCAGAATTATATACCGACACTGGGCCTACTTTAAAGTGGCCGAAAAGCAGTAAAGACTGTAAGAAGTAAAAGAGAAGAAACACCCTTTCCATCTGATCAATCACGTCCCTCTGTTCATATAACCCTTCCTCACTCAAGTGTACGTTCAACCCATTCAGTGACCTTAATATCAAGCTTGTTTGTATCAATTAGGTTACGTAGAGCAGGACAAGCCTTGGGCTTTGTCATAGCGTCCGCTGGGTTGCTTTTGCCATCAATCCACTTGATCTCGCTAATCTCGCGTTGCTCATACGCTTGCCGTAGACACATTACGTCTATCATAAGACGCTTCTCCTTAGTAGTCCCAGGTTTGACTAGACACTCGTAAAGTGACTTTGAGTCAGTGCAAACTGTGAGGGGTATCTTAAGACTAAGAATAGCTTCTAAAGTTGCCTTGATAGACGTAGCCATGTCAAATCCAGCGCTCATTGCGTATAATTCTGAGGCCAAGACACTCCGTGTAACTCTCTTGCACTTAACAGAGGACCAGTGCAAGATGTTGGCGTTCCCTGCTTCGTCTGCTAGTACGAGAACATAGCCAATCTGAGAGGTGAAATCCTCGTTGTTGGCAAAGGAGGAGTCAGTAAATATGACTAACTTGAGAGTGTTCTTGTCTAGCTTGACAAATTTAAGGCCTCGATCGGGGTTGTCAATTTGCCATTAAATTCGCTTATTGAGGAGTGTAATGTCCTGGCTTTGAGGTTCAAGCTTCTGGGCAGCAAAGGAGAGGTCAAAAGCGGCTTCTGGTTGCGAGACTGTCGCCAGGTAGGCTCCGCGTGCCCGCTGGGCTACGTACTGGCCCTTAATTGAGACTCTCTGGCGAACGTTGCCCCGGGAGCTCACTAGGTCCGCTGGTGAAGTGCTCACTGGCTTCAAGTGCCTAGTATAGCCTTCCTGGGTCAAGAGTATTGAGCCATCCAGTTGAAGCGTGACCTTGCCGCCATTAAACTTGAGCGGGTGTTCAAAAGTGAGTTGCTCCCTGGGTTTTGAGGTAAACTCAGCCTTCTTCAATTCGCTCTCTTCAGCTGTAGCAAATTCTGGGTTTGCTAGTATTATAGTATCGTCAGTCTGAAGACCAACGATCCCAAATTGCTCTTGATTGCTGACAGAGAGTAGGCAGGGGTCGTATGTGGATTGAGACATGCGCAGCTTCTCCAGGTGGTGTTTGTGGTAGGTGCTAAACCAGTGGTTCCCAGCTTCAGGTACGCCGTAGAGTGGTTTTATAACCTTGAGGTAAATTCCACTCCACTGGGGAATTCCTGGTGGTGGGCGTACATAGAACTCGCGGTTAAGCTTTGTAGTTGACTGGGTATATGCCTGGGTAATATCTCTGAGGTAGACATTTAACTCAGGGCATATAGCGGCTATGGCGAGGATAATTCGCTGGCTAACTCGTTGGATTGTAGGTGACTGGGTCAGAACTTGAGACTTGTTTTCATCGTTATATGCCTGGATAACAAGCCTTGATTTCTTATATGCCTTTTCTGTGCCCTCGTTCTTGATGCTGTCTACAAATCTTGAGTTGAGTATTCTGGCGCTTTCTGGGAGGTCGCATGGCCGGATGTACTCAAAAACATCGCGTTCAATTAGCCCATTGACCTCCTGCGTCTGGGAGTGCTTAAATTGACTAGAGGCAGAGGCAGTGGCGTCTTTAGCGAGATAGACGTCAATATTCAAGGTACTTGGTTGCTTTCGTGGTCTCCCTGGGCCACGCTTCGGAGGCTGGTTGTGGGATTGTTCCTGTGGTTGCTCTAGAGGCTGTCTTTGAGTTTTTGATGGTCTACCTAGGCCACGCCTTGTTTGAATGACTTCAGGTGGCGTGGCTGGCTGGAATGCTTCTTGGTCGTCAGGTTCCTGGGTGGCCGGTGGTTCCTGTAGGTCTGGGCCCGTAAGGTAGGGTTTTACTACTGTAGAGCGGAATTTTGTGGGTCCGCTAGGCAGCTCGACAATGCACTCCTCATTCGCCATTCCTACGAGCGTAAAGGGGCCAGTCCACCTCCCAGGTTCACGCCATACAAGGACGTCTGAGTTAAGGGGTAGGCCTTTGAGTAGGCTATTTGTAGGGCCATTCCGATGATTAAGGGCATCGTTGATTTGTCGTTTTGCCTGGAGTTTACGTAGCTCCTCCATAGCCTTCTTGAGTGTGCTTGAGCGCTGGCTAATAGAGGGCGAGGGGGCGTCAAATTCAGCTATACGTGGGTAGGCGCCAAACACAAGTAGAGTAGGCACAAGGCCGTCAGGTCCTACAGTATCGTTGACTGCCTTGAAAGCCATTTGGAGAGCTGTATCTTTGGCCAGGTCAGGCAGCTCTTCACTTATAATTGAGTATGCTCTCCTAAGCGGGCCATGATAACGCTCTACTATTCCAATAGAGTTGTGGGCTTCCACAGGTACAACCTTGGTATGAATTCCCATAGAACTTGCAAATTGCTTGAATTCCTTGCTTACAAAGTTTTTGCCAGAGTCATGAGTAATTAAATCTGGGGGTCCAAGGTAGGTGTTGATCCAGCACTCTTGTAGCTTTTCCCAGGTGTGCTTGGCTGAGATCTGGCGTAGCCATTTGCCGGCTTGAAAGCGGGTACATTCATCTACAACATGTAATAGAGGCTGGCCGTCAATATACATAATATCGACGTAGATGTTGTAATTGAATTCAACGTCATCGTGAAGGGTAAAGCGGAAGCGACCAGGGGATTTTCCATGCTTTTGGCAGTAGTGGCAGTACTCGTTTAGGTGCTTGAGTATGCCTGGGTCGACGTCGTGGCCGGAACGCTCTAGTAGGAGCTGGAGGCGGCCAACAGATGGGTGTCCAAAGCGCCTATGAAGTCGACGAATCTCAGTCTCTGTAAGTTGGCTTGGGGATTCCTGTAGGAAGGAGCATAAAGACTCTCCCCAAGCCAGGAAGGGGTGTCCGAAGCGCCGTACTACTGACACTTCGCCTTGTGGGGTAATGAGCGTGTTTTTGAGGTTATTGAAGTGGACTCCTAGCTTGTCCATGTCCGCTAAGCAAAGCAGGAAGGGGGTGTCTGTCTGAAGTACATGGAATTCAACTAGGTCAATAGGTGAATTGACGTATATAGAGCCTATGGATGCCGCTGCGCCAATGCCAAATTTAACAGTTACTTTGCCCTTTGAAGCTGTAGTAACTGGGGTGTCCCAAATTGATTTGTATGCCAAGTATTGGTCGTATCCCACAGTTGACTTTGAGGCTGCGCCTGTATCAATCATAATGCCAAACCAGTAGTTTGAGTTGTAGCGTTTAGCTTCTGTGGCTATTAGAGCCTCGATTTCCTTGTCTTTGGTGGGTTGGGCGGGCAGTGAGCTTGTGAAAGCATGAAAACAGGCTGCCTCAGAGAGCTTGGAAGTGATGCTTGTAGCGCTCGAAGTACTGATTTTGCCAAGCGAAGTCGTAAAGCTCTCGCTCTCGCTCTCTTCGAGCTCGGGGGTATTCAAGGGCTCTTCTTCGTTGTCTTCAAGAACAATAGCTTGAAATGCTTCATCGTGGGAGTCGAACTGTCCTCCTTCGTACTCAAGGACGTACTGTCTAAATGATCTTTCAAAGGCAGGTTCGTTGAACTCCCATCTAAGCTTGCTTTGATATCTTGACTTGAAGCGGTCTCTTGCCTGGTTACGCTCATGCTCAGGGTGGTTTGTTGACCAGCAGCCTTGCTTCTTACAGACAAAGCATTGCTTCTTGTTCCTACGGTAGCTGCTTCCACGGTAGCCGCGGCCCTGGCTTGTACGTGAATTGCTACGTGAGGGTTGGAACCTGCGGTCTGTCATATAGGTTATTGCCAGGCTGGTAGTAGCGGTACTGTGGGCATGTTCGTAGGCAGTGATTGATGTCTTAAGAGCACTAACAGTGGCTGACAGTTGAGATAAGGGCGGAGGGGAAGAGCATGCAATCTGGCACTCAGGAGTATCCTGGCAAGCGAGTACAAGCTTGTTTGAGAGGAAGGAGTCGGTCTGGAGATCCTGGGTAAGTCCATGGCGGAGTACTTGAAGCTTAGCTACCAGGAGTTGAAAGGACTGAGTGGTTGTCTTGTCCGGGTTCTGGGATTTGACTTGGTTTAGGTTAAGGTTGTTCCATTCCGCAAGCGCGGCTCGCTTATAGCTTGCGTCTTCGAAGTGTTCCTGCATAGCAATACAAAGGTCTTGAAAGGGGAGGTTGGCAGTAGAGAGAGTGGCGTAGTAGAAGTCAAGAGCTAGGCCTTTAAGCATGATTGGCAGAGCTTTTGCGTAGGCCGCCTCAGGTACGTCGAACCTAATACAGACATCAAAGAGTATTGTGACCTTGAGTCCAAAGTTGTCATTATCATTATCATTATTATTCCTTTTAACGTGCTGTGTGAGTCTGAGACTATAGTAGCACGGCTGGGGGTTTTCCCTCCAGCCGATAAATGAAACTGTACTAAATACATGTGTGAGAAGGGGGTTGTGGTGAATACAGTTGTTGGGTTGTTGGAAGCAGCAAGGCTTCTGGTTATAACAAAGGAAAGAAAAAGTGTGTTGTAGTACGCCCCCTGCGTTTCACGCCCTGTATCCTACTCTTCCTCGTCTTCCTCTTCATCTTCCTCTTCCTTTTCCTCCTCGGCTACTCGTTGTGTGTGCCATATTCTAGTAGCGATTTTGGTGGTGCGTAGGAAGTCTAATGTGGCCTCAACTCCTTTAGTGGTGTGAAGGAGGGATTTCATGGTGAATTCTCGAATGTAGTGTTTGAGGAGGTTGCGCTTAAGTACTTTCCTAGCATCTCCAGTTTCTGGACAGCTAAGAAGTAGGTGCGTAGGGGTCTCTTGTCTTCCACATCTGCAGCGGTTGTTGTTGGTGTGGCCTAGATTGTGTAGGTATGATTTGAAATAGCCATGGCCAAGCTTTAGCTGGTAAAAGGCGCTGGCTATCTCTCTTTTTGTTCCTTGAGGGACGCGAGGCTTTGATAAAATCTTCCATGGGAATTCCCTTCGATACGAGTGTTGATTGGTTGATGGTTCTGTATGGTGGGCAGGATGTGTAGTAAGCTTTTGGTGCCATTCTTTGTTCTGGATTTGCCTTATTTTGACTCCAAGCATAGCAAAACTAGTGAGTTGAGTGGATGGTTGGATTGTAGTAGCCGCTTTTGCAAGCTTGTCTGCTTTTTCATTTCCTGGGATGTCGGTGTGGCCTGGTACCCAGTGAATTGTAGTGTTGGCTCCCTTGCTGGCTACCTTGCGTGCAGCTTTGATGGCTCTGATTTGGCAGTCTTGCCCTGGGTGGTCTGATGTAGTTTTCAGCCTCCATAGACCTGCCTGGTTATCAGAGTAGATGTGAAAATGGATCCCTGGTCTAGCGTGTTTAGCAGCGTATTCCACTGCTAGCGTTGCTCCTTCAACTTCTCCGTTGTAGACAAGCTTATTTGGGCCGATGTTAATCTTCTTTTCGTAGTGGATTATACTTGATTGAGGGGATATTACAGATAGACCAACGCCTATGCCTTGGCTATTTTCTGTTGCTGTAGAGGAAGCATCAGTATATATAAAGATGCTGTTGTTGGGGTTGTTCTGAAGTAAGCGAAGGTGAACTTTAGCCTCTTCTTCCTTTGAGAGTTTGCTGATATGCACTTTGTAGGGGGTTTGTCTTTCCCAAGGGGGGAAGTAGAAGTGACTTATTTGTTCAAGGTTTTCGAGATCGTATAGGTTGCTAATCGAGCTGTGGATTCGTTGTAGTTGCGGAGTTGTTGGCTTCTTTTTTCCTGGAGTTATTTGTGTGTTAAGAAGTTTGTTGGTGGCGTGGTTGACTGGGTGTGAAGGTGCAAGTTTGAGAAGTCGAAGGGCATATGTTCTTAGAGAGGAGGAGAGGCGTACTTCTGGAGGCGGGAGGGCGCTTTCTACTTCCATTGGGAGGATAGGCGTAGTTTTGAAAACGCCTAATATCTTTCTAATTGCAAGGTTTTGGAGTTTTTGAAGTAGAGTAGTGAATTGTGCTTGGCCTCGCCACCAGATAGTAGACCCATAGTCAGCAATGCTTGTGACGCATGCTGTATACAGCTGTCGGAGGGCAAAAGGTGTAAGTCCTTTGGAGTTGTTTGCAAGCCTTGACATCCTAAAAAAGGCGCCTCTTGCTTTTGCAACTTTGGTGGCAACGTGATGCTTGAACGATAGTGATGGGTCAAAGTAGATGCCTAACCACTTAATGCTTTGTTTTGGGTGTACTGTCTGGTGGTTTGGGAGGTTTAGAGTGATTCTTCCCTATCTTTTGCCTTGGTCCAGTGTATGAGTTCAGTTTTGTTAAGGTCGAAGGCAATGCTATTCTCATTTGCTAG